TGATGATGATGATAATAATAAGAAGAAATTGCTTCTGCTTTGGAAACTAATTCTTCGGTCACGTCAATAAAGCTCTTGAATTTGAAGTTCTGTGATCACAGAGAAACAGACGGGATACAATGGGTGTAATTCATGAGTAACGAGTCCTGCAGGAATACAGAACCACACACGGGCGCGATACGCCACTTCGCCACCGGAGGGCGACAAGGCACCCTGCTCGCTCAGGTCAGGAGCAATCCTGCAGTGAAGATGTGTGTCCATCTATCTGATAACTCAACTGTCCAGTGAGCAGTACTGCTAACCCCGACTGATCCACACAGCAAGTTCATTTGATTCAAGTTCAAAATCTCATCCATCCATTTCCAAACAGTCAGAACCTCAATATCACCCCCCTCCACCACTCTCAGTGTAAAGTCTCTACTGCTCTCATGTCTACCTTTCCCTGTGGTGCTCATCTTCCTGCAGCTCCTGAAGTGGCGTAACAGGGACCCCCTGTGAGTCTGCAGTGTCGTCACTGAGAGCTGCGGCAGTCCTCCCATTGTGACCCGAGCAGAAGAAACGCTTTGCAGCTGCCAATCGAGCAATGACACCTCTTGTCACTTTCAACAATTTCTTTATTTGTTTTTTGTAAACAAACAAGACCTCAGGAATAAAAACACTTAACAGGGTTGGTATTGGCCGACAAGGAATGAAAACAGAGATAAATAAGAAAATGGAGAAGACTCTAAAGAATCTGGTATCAGATAGCAAGGAGCCCAGTTCAGGACTGACGTCACCAGCCAACGTGACGAAACCCCTCTAGTTGAACAGACCTGCAGACAGGACAGCAGCACAGAGACCAGGTGATCACTCTCTTGTCCACTGAGCAGTACTGCTAAACTGACTGATCCACAAAGCTAGGCTCATAGCAGTATCACTCACACTTCCTCATCCTATAGACTCTATAGAGTCACAGACAGCAGTATCACTGTAACAACACTCACACTGCCTCATCCTATAGACTCTATAGAGTCACAGACAGCAGTATCACTGTAACAACACTCACACGCCCTCATCTTATAGACTCTATAGTTACAGACAGCAGTATCACTGTAACAACACTCACACTCCCTCATCCTATAGACTCTATAGAGTCACAGAGAGCAGTGTTACTGGTCTGGGTGCACTGGGACAGTGTTGGGGGACCCCTGCTGTCGGGGTGAGGGTTTGGGGGGCTGGTCTGACATGACGCCGCCCTGCTCTGTGTGTGAGTCTCGCTGTCAGCAGCCTGACAGCTGTTGTGCTGTCAGGCTGCTGTGTCTCAAAGAGTCAAAGTGAAGAGAAGCGTGTTCTGTCTGACTGCAGTGGAGTGTGTTCTGCTGGGTTCTGCTGGGTTCTG